GCAGGTTTCGAACCTTGGTCATTGTTCTAAATTTCCCACCACTGAACCATGTGAGTTACTTGTGGTGGTATGTGGCCCATTTATTGTTTCTATAACAATTGGCCGACCATTCTTATGGAGAAGATAATCAGCTTCAAGCAGTCATAATTATTGCATTAAATGTTAAACTTTTTGATAACCAATAAATCCTCATAAGCGGATTTTGCTATTCCCGCCCAAAATCCCCGCCCAAATATGGAAAATCCCCCTTAATTGAAACACAACTGTATAAATAGTAATTTTGTATTTAATACCTTGAACAAAAATAATACTCTAAAGGATGATCTTAATTAGTAACCAAATGTGCTACTGTCATTATATTTTCATTAACTACAGTTGAGTTGAGAGTGGGGTTAAGTAAGGGGGCGGGTGAGTAAGAGTCTAGTCAGTGGAGATGCGATCAATAATATAAAGGAATGAAGTGAATGAGGAATGAAAATGATTTGCTAGATCAAAATGAAAGTGTAAAGTGTTACACATGTCCCTCACATCAATATCTTCTTAATTCAAAACAAAATTTAGGTGCACATAACGTGCGCCTGAAGCGCACATGCCGTGCGCGCTTAATTTAAATTTAAAACCCATGCTCTCTCGTGGTCAAGCACAATTGTGCACACAAGGCACACACGCCGTGTGCGTTGAAAAAAACGCTTTGAAACAAGTAACATGTGGCCCCGCTATTCCTCTCGAAAGTGCCATCTTCCCGAATTGCCCAATTGCCTCTTTCTCAACACTTATATATCCTTCCCCCCGTCGTCAGCCCTCTCTTTATCTCCTACTCACTACCCAACCCACCCTACCTAGTATTAATATACTTCCACTTCTCCGTCTCATTTAAATCTCTCAATTGAAATATAGCATATCCTGATCTCCCCCATCCTTTCTTAAATTAATTAAAATGACACGCATGGTGTTAACCCTTTTTTCACCGGGACTTGTGGTTCTTCTAATAACAAGAGTATTACAATTGAGATTTTTGCGAGGTGTATGCATATTGCCGTGAACCCTGAGGTTAACAAAAATTATTTTGGTGTGTAGTAGGCAGGGACGGAGGCAAGTGTTGGCTTATGGTGTCAAATGACACCACTCAAATTATATTTTTGTTGTATATATATGTATATAAAGATTGATAGTGTTAAAAATGACACCACTAATATTTTTGTATAAACGGTGTCAATATATATAATATATTCCCCTATCCCACAACTAAAAATGTTCCTATATTCCATAATAGAACTATCAAATTTTTATTCCCGAAAATATGACTAATTACTGTCATGTTTTAGCAACACAAGACTTTAAACATGACATCATTTTTTAAATTTGACAGTAATTACTCATATTTTTGGGAATAAAAACAAGACGTTCCTATTTTTAAATTATCAAACATTTTTTACTCATATTTCGGGAATTTTCCCTATTTAAGAAGAAACTGAAACAATAATATAGTGCTCCTAATGCAGAATTCACGTTATTTTTACTCTTACTTAGGGTAATTTTCATTGGTATATTACTTTGACACCAGTGACATTACATCCTCGCTCCGTCTTTGCTAGTAGGCCTGAGATTGATTCGGATCCTAGGCAAAATAGATGGAACCGTTTGAAAAATATCAAATCTCAAAACGGTTCAGTTCTTATAATTTTTTATAGAACTGATATGGAACTGAACCATTCTTATAAGAAATACAAATATGTTTAATTACCAACATTTCAAACCTCAAAAGTTGAGTTTAAAACATAAATACATACCGAACTGAAAATTTTAGTAAATAAAACAAAATAACATATTCATTATGATCGTGAATCAGCAACGTAATTAGCCAGCAAAAAGTTCATTCATCTCAAGGATCACGAGTAGAGCACTCGATTCCGACCATATAGGCCTCTAAGACGGCTGATAAACTAAGCGAGAGAATTTTCTCTCTCATACATATTGCATTTTGATATTAGATTATATTACTTATTAGGCCATAAGTCGAGTCCCTATCCTACATCCGGGTGTATGTACACTCAGCCCAATTAAGAGAGACAACACATTTAACTAATACAAACTAATTTTTTGGTGACATTTTTGTAATTTAAACGAAAAAACACGACTTTTGCTAAGTGAGTATTAGTGTACTTTTAGTGAGCACCTGACATATATATTCTATTGAGTATTAGGAAGCTAATAATAAACATCACAATCTCTGCTTCATATCTTCTAATTCAATTTTTTCTATTATAAAAACTTATTAAATGAGCATTTTTAAATGAGCATAGCATCAATATCACATGAACATACGTAACTTACAAAATGTCCATTGATATGAAAATGGTAAGGTTTGTTAGGTTAACATAACGACATTTTCATTGAGCATCAAAGATGTTCTATTGAGATGAAAATCATGGTTTCTGTGAAATAAGCATTAATGAACTTTTAATGAGCATCATACTTATACTAATGAACATATGTATCTTACAAGATGAGCTTTGATATGAAAATTTTAAGTTTTGTTCGTTGAGCATCATGACATTTTCAGTGAGCATCAACCTCCGTTATTGAGTATTAGAATCTGTGATTGAGTATCATGATTTGTGGTCTGGTGTCTATAATCAACTCCGCTCCTATGTGAATCTAATGTAATATGAGACTTGAAATATGCATTGATATAACATTTTAAAATGAGCATAACAGAGGTACTAGATGAAGATACATAACTTACAAAATGAGTATCCAAAACTTCAAAAATGAGCATTGTGATCCATACTTCATATTTTCTAATTCATTTTCTTTCTCTGATGTTTTCTTATATAAAAAAATATTAAATTATATTTTTACTCAACTTTTATGAATTTCAATATATGGATCTAACGTAATATGGTACGTTTGTAATATGCATTTGTTGGGTTAGTAGGCCGATAGCAGACCGGCCCATTATCCCTTAACATGGGAACCATCAAGGTCATCTTGGGTACGGTCCAGCAAGAGGCCTGATAGACGCTCGTCGGGGTGGGCCTCGAAGAAGGCGACGCTCGTCCCAAGAGTCATGGGCCCAACACCGGGCCAAGTGATATTGCGGGATCCTCGACTTCAGTCCACACCAGCCGTACGGATCCATACCCTTGTGCATTACAGGACCCAGGCTCAAAGATTTGGAGGACGCTCGTCCTTGACCATGGAATACGACGGGACCACATCCTTGGCCCATCAAGGATCTCGATCTAACTCATCAAGACGTTCGTCCGGTATAATGGCGGGAAACCAAGATATTGGTGGGAAGCGCATTTATTGCGGTAGATTTGGTGGGTGGGAACCTACCCTTTGGTAGTATAAATAGTATCATTTATTTCATTTTAATGGGTTGACAACTTATTCTCCTTAGCAATAGCAATTATCTTAACTCTTAGTATTGAAATAAACGAACGGCCTCGAGCTAGTAGTTGAAGTGTGTACTATACGGACCCTTATTATCATTTAATAAGATTCGACCCACTTACTACTTTTCTTTTGACCAATCTTTACTTGCTTGCATATTAATCCACTAAATTCACCACTCGAAATCCAAGGGGAACGGGTTGGGCCTTTGGGTTGAAGGAATAAACCTCAACAACATTGATATAACATTTTAAAAATGAGCATACTAAATGAGCATACGTAACTTACAAAATGAACATTACATCAATATCAAATGAACATACATTTTTACGAAATGAGTATCGAAAAATTAAAAAAGCTTATTTAAAATCTCTGGTATGCTCAAATATTAAACGAGAATCCAAAACCTATGAAATGGGCATCGAAATATTTAATATGAGCATTACTCCAGTATGCATGAATAACACCAATATGCATGAATATGACAATTTAAAATGTGTGGTGTAATGCTCATTTTAAAATGAGCATTACACCAATACTAAATGAACATGACAACTTACGAAGTGAGCATCGATAAATTTAAAAGGCACATTGAAAATCTCTAGTATGCTCATATATCAATTTGTGTATGCTCATATTAGTATAACATAAAGAAGCACCAATTTCTTATTCCAGACCAACAAATTTTATTGTGCTTATTTCTAAAAATTATATCAATGCACATTTAATTTAAATAATATACTCTTAATTATTTAGAAGGTTGGTCGTTTTAATAGAAGAGTGAGAAAGATATATGTTTTTATTGAATTGTCATTCGATATGAGTTTTTGAAAGAATTGAATGAAAAAATTATTGTAAAAAATTACATAAAAATAAAAAAGAAATAGGAGTTCAAAAATAGAGGAGCAGAAGACAAAAGGTATATATAAAAATAAAAATGGAAGCAGAAAAAGAAAAAGGAAAACTACAGTTAGACAAGTTAAAGTTCAAAATTAAAGGAAAACAAATAAGAAAAACGGAAGCAGAAAAAAGAAAAGGAAAAGTTAATGCGTTTTTTTTTTGCGAAAAAAAAGTTAATGTTACAAAATTAAAGGTCAAAATTTAGAGAAAAGAAAAAGAAAAATCGAGAAGCAGAGATACGAATGATAAGTGAGCGGGAGAAAATGTAAAATACAAAAAAATGAAAAAAGAAAAAAAAAGTTGGAGGAGAGTGCATCGCACGAAGAGATAAGAAGGAAGCAAATACTTTAGCTCGCTAATTAATAGTAACATGCAAACAATTATAAAAGTATCGGGTGTACCTTATAATTTGCCCCCATAAGTCAGCTAATAAATTGGTTGAGAGAATTTTCTCTCTTATACGTGCCGTTTTTAGGTATTACTCTAGCTAATAAATTTATGTATCGTTTTTAGGTCATAATAATATAAGATTCCTAACGATTAAACAGATTAATTTTCTCTTATATTAGATTAGGTTATTTACTAGGCCATAAAACGACATCTAATTAAAACTGGAGAATTTGCTAATACGGAGTATTTTTTGTTATTTAGATTCATGTCCTCGAATGATATCAGATTTATGTACAAACCTAACGTGCACGGACGAGTGAAACCACATTTGAAGTCTTCGTCGGCCCAAGAAATTCAAGAAGTTGGACCAATCTTCCCTTCAATCCTGTCTGTTGCTTCTTCACGGTTTCGTTCAACACCTATTCTAGGAATCACAATGGCAACGATGCCGCTAGAAGAAAACGGCGCCGTTTCACTGTTGTTCGCGGATTTCCCAGAAGACGTGCAGATTTGCATCCTCTCGTTTCTGACGCCGACTGAGATCTCCGCCTTCGGCTGCACCTCCAAGCGCTATGTCTCCCTTTGCCGCGACGATCAGAGGCTATGGTTTTCTATGTGCGACCGTAGGTGGGGATCCAAGACCCTCATCAGGAAATGGGGCAATGGAAAGATCTCTTACAAGCTCCTCTACAAAACGCTACACGAGTGCGAGAATCTCATCGGCTTCTGGCGCCGCAGTGGCTCCGGTCTCAATTCCGGTAATTCCGGTCATCTCGTGTTCTTTGAGTGGGGTCCGTTTTATGTTTCAGGGTCATGGGTTACACCCATGAAAGCGTCTACTTATAAGGTGAATAAAGCTCCATTCCTTTGGATGGGGATTTCCTCCGAGGGTGAGCCAGTCAACTACCTTGATCTCGAAAGCAGGCTTGAGCTTTCCGAGAATTTGATGAGTTCGGAGGAGTATTGGTCGGAATTAGTACCCGTGAATGTGTGTTTTATAGGGAAATGTCACGTTGCCATCGAGGAGAATGTGAATTGCTCTGCCTCCAATTCAAGTTCCCCACAGAGTGGAGCTTTTATGAAGGTTTCGAGTGCAGCGAATGCTAAGGAAGATGAACACAAAGAGTTGAGTGGGTCCCCCGGGAGTTTGCCAGAACTGCCAATGTCTGAGATTTATCAGTACTTTGCAAACAGGACAATACCTGCCGGGAATGGATCTTGGAGGAGGCAGCGAAGGAGGGAGAAGGAAAGGCAGGGAAGGAGGAAGTGGGACACCGAGCACTTTGTCAAGGTTGTCAATTGCTCCCCCACTCCTGCAAGGCCATTGCAGGGTCTATGGAAGGTTTTGCTCTTGTCCACTTTAGATTTGTGTAGTTTTTGTAAGGTCCTTTGTGCTACACTGCTGTGTTGTTATGGTTCTTTACTCTTGCTGGGTGGAAAGATTTGATTTTAAAACGGGCAATGAAGCCTGTTTGTATCCTAAAGTAAATACGAAGCAAAAGACTTTATCTTTATTTAGTAATGCATGATTTAGATGATTGGGGTATATATTCTTTTTGGTATCATAAATCAGTGTAAATTAAAAGATTTGACCTTTATTTAGTATTTCATAGTATATATGACTAGCTTTTTAGTAATTGTGTATAATTAAGCAATGCGATTTGGAATGTTTGATTTATATTTAGTATTCTGTACTCTTGTCTTAAATGACTCTCCATGTTTCTTTTTAGTTTGATGTATTATAAAACAATCTGTGTTGAAAGTTTGATCTTTTTTACTATTGCATGATTTGTACCATCAACTAATCGAGCAATATGAACCATAAGATTTGGTCTTTGTTTAGTCCTGCATGATTTAGATGATTTTCCATTACCCTTTTTTATACCATGAAGCGGTGTGAACTGAAAGATTTGGAAGATTTATATGATTTTCGTATTTATGTAGCATTTCATATTTTCATGGCTTATATGACTGCCCTTGATACATTTATATGATTTGGAAGATTTGTTTTTAATTAGAACAATGTGAATTGAAAGGTCTGATCAGTAGTCTTCTTAGCAGCTCAGAAACTTCCCACAACTCTCCCATGTCTCGCACTTTTGGAAACTTGAAAGTGTGTCCAAAACCCGGAAAGTTCAAATTCTTGTTTCCCTAATTAATTGGTGCTTCATGAACTTTGGGTTTCAGGTCTCCTTTTTATGGTGTTTTAATGGAAATAACTGCCCGTTTATTGAATTTCAAAATTGACTTTTTAGGAGATTTTTATAGCAACCTGGGCTTTGCGATATTTCATAGCATATTGCGCTACTTGAAATTTATTGCAGTTTGCATTTGATTGTGTACTAATATTTCTATATTTGAACATGCAGATTATTTTTATTTAGCAAAGTTGTATGAATAAATATGTATTCCCATAGATGAATAAAATATGTGTGTGTATATATATGAAAAAAATCACGTTTCCATTCTACATGGATATTTCAGAATTGGTTCATTTAGATGAAATCAAGATTTTACCTTTTGTGTGAGAACAAGAAATTAGACAGATTATGGTATTAAACATGTTAGTAGAATTGAGTGTTTTATAATGATTGGAGTAAAGTGTTTGTGAATTGTGATTATATTAGCTATTGAATGTCTTCTGAGAGTGAATTGTCATAGTTGGAATGGAATGGTAAAACTTCTCTCATACACATTGGTCCGCCTCTCATTGCAGGGAGTAGGTGATGACACGAGCCTAGAATTTTATCTCGTTTCATATGATGACATTGGAGGAATTACTTGCCGTAGAGTTGGGGAATTGTCTCAACTTTTCTCTGGCTGTACCCCGGTGTTCTGGACATCAAACACGACATTCATTGAGTTTCCGGTTTCTTCAGATGAGCAGCGTATATACGAGAGCCGCATACATCTTCAGCAGCCTCATGCGGAAGGAGATATGACTGATGATGATAGTCTCATGCCTTGTCGCGAGACCAGTGACGTATTGTCCATGCTCTCCATGAATTCAAGCTACGACTTGGTTCTACCTGACCTGATGGGCAATAGTTTGAACCCCCGGCAGGTGGAGGGGAGGATTTGGCTCTACGGGAATGGGACATTTGGCTATGGGTTTCTCAGAAACAACTACATTATAGATTTGAAGCAAATCGCTAGGGATGGTCGCATATTAGATGTTGTCCATTTTAAAAACGATTGATTGCTTCAATGTGTTTACTTGAGTAGGAAATTTGTGATTTATCATTGTTGCACATAAGATTGTAGACTGGAATTAACGTCATTACAGGCTGTGTCATGTAACTCATGTGACATAAAATGGGTACCCTTTGGAACAGCATCATCGTTAAGTTTAGGTGTAACTGGGGTAAGCTGTGATGGTGGCTGAGAGGTGATGTGTGGCGGTGGACAACCAACTGTACTGCTGCCGGCCTGCTGCCGCTAAAGCTTCTAAACCCCTTTGTGTACCAAATAGACCCATAGCTTTCATATGGAATAAATGTTTATCACTTGTTTATTGTGTTAATTTGTACTACGCATAATTTTTCAGTTTGTTCAAACGAACTGCCATCTCCTCTGTTATATTTCATATTCATTCATTATGTTGGATGTTTACTTGTACTACGCGTGCGTTTCTATTTCAGGTTTCAGCACTAGATATGAGTAAGGCTGGGAAAATATACTGAAATTTCGGTATACAGGCTATGGATAGACTCCACCGGCCCGACCCGGCCCGGAACCGGCCCGACCCGCTACTGTGCGGGCCCGGACTGGACCGGGACCGGTTGGCCGGTTTCGGGCTTTTAGCCCGTTTGGGCGGGCCGGACTCGGGCCCAGTTTTGGGCATACTGGCCCGGGCGGTTCGGGCCGGGCCCGGGTCATTTTTTTTTCAATTTTTGTTCTTTTCCTAGGGTAGGGCTGGCTGTTTTGGGGAGGTTTGGGGGTGGGGGTGAGGGGGGGGGGTCGGGGGATAACAAGAAAGCAAAAAAAAAAAGTTAGACATTGAACCGGGCCCAGCTAGGGGTGGACTCGGGTCCGGGTCGGGTCCGGGTCGGGCCTAGGCCCGGGCGGGCCGGCGGTTCAAGAATGGTGGACCCGGGACCGGCCCGGGTAGCCACCGGGTCCGGGCCGGGCCTCCGGTTTGGATTTTTTATTTTTTTTGCTTTCCTAACCCCCCACCTCACCCCCCACCCTCCCAAACCCCCCCAAATCCATCCTACCCATCAAGCCCAACCCGGGTGGAACCCCAAAAATGAAAAAAAAATAAAAAAAATTCAATTTGGCCCGGGCCCGGGCCCGACCCGGCCGGGCCGGTTCACCAAAATTGAGACCTGAGCCCGGACCCGCCCTACCCCCGGGCCTAGGCCCGACCCGGACCTAGGCCCGACCCGGACCCGAGAACCGGGCCGGTCCCGGTCCCCCACAGTAGCGGGCCGGGTGGCCCGACCCGAGTCCAAGCATAGGCCCAGCCCGGCCCGGTTAGGCCTGGACCCGGTATCAACCCGGGCCGGTTCCGGGCCCAAGGATATGCAAAAAAAGCCCACCTGGGCCCGGCCTGGAACCGGAACGGGACAGGCCCGGCCCGGAACCGGAACGGGACCGGCCCGGGTCCATCCCTAATACCGGCCATACCGTACCAAAAAATACCGATTTTACCGAACTTTTCGGTATACCAAAAAATTCGGTATGGTATGATACCATACCGGGTCACTTCGGTACGAAAACGGTATGTAGATTTTAAATTTTCGGTATTTCGGTATATACCGAAATACCGTTAATTTTCGGTATGGTATGGTACGGTATATACCGAAATACCAAAAATAGAGTTTGTAAATTATTAGGACCAAGCCCATTAAATGAAATTAGTAAAATATCTAGTCCCACTAGTAAAACCCATCTTAATACTACCGCTCTTCTCCATTCTCCCTAATGGAGACCAAATCCCTAATCAAGTAAATCAAGGTAGAGAAGTTGCGCACGAGTGATCGAGTGATGGAGAAGCCAGGCACTTTCTCTTCTCCAGTTCTCCTAACATCTCAACTGACAGAGTGACGGTGCTGCAGACTATTGAGTATTGAGGATGAAGTTGCGAACGACGAAGCTGTGGAAGAAGTAGTTGTGCACGACTGGTCACAACCAATCAGTAAATAATACTTCAACTCAGGTGTGTGCCTATCCATGATCTTCTCGTGTCTCATAATTTCTAAAAGTTAGCCCAGTATCATTTTTCTGTGACTTCAGAAGAGGTTTGGTGCTATTTTCAACTTAAATTGCAGTATTGTACAAGAAAGGGTTTATAATTTCTTATTAGCTTCTTATCTTTGATTTCTTTACACTCCAAAAACATACTTTCTTATTATCAGGAAAGATAATAAATATAGAGGGTTTATAATGTTTTATTATTAAACTTAGAAATGCCACGTACAACTGACCTATTGTCTGTGTTAGCCTCTTGCTATTAATTTATAGAGATTGCAGACTTGACTATAAAGCAAAAGGTAAGCGAATAATCCTAATTTACATCAAACAAAATCAGGAAGCCTTTGTACAAAAAAGTAGAAGACTAGGATCCTAATTGTGAAGCTTCAACCTGAAAAATCACATGTTTTTCTGTAGTTCTTGTCTAGTCATTGCAGCATTTGATTGATCCTATGAGTAACGCTTGATGTTTTACATTTGCAGCTTATGTGATTCCCTGGCTATAAGGATAACTTGGAAAATAGATTTATGCAACACCTTTTGAGGCTTCAACTTGATGTATCGTTTTGATGAATTCTGCTAGACTTTGAACTATTAGAATTTTTTTTTACTTCATCTAAAATTAACTGTGGCTTCATAACATTTTATTTCCAAGCTGAGGCATTGAGGGACCTTCTTAAATTACTCTACTTAGACTAAGCTTCTATAATGACAAAAAGTGGGATATGCATGACTACATGACCTTAATTTATTCCTTTAGTTTTATAATCTGCAATTTCCACATCCTTCCAATTTTTGTTTCTATATAATTTGCATGACTAACCTAACTTATATAATTGTTTCTTGAAAGGATTGATTGCAAATAATATGGTAGACTAAGTAACTAATATTCTGTATATTTTTCAGAGTGGATTAGCATGATATTTGTTACATTAGAGCATAATTTTAGCATTTTCTACTTTGGATTAAATATTGTGTTTTACGTTTCGTATGAGTTTATGTAATTGATGTCGTTTGCTACTTTTGACACATCCAAAATCAGTTTTTTTGAATGTTCGGTAGGCCCCTTATGCCGATGCTTTATACGGAATTGTCTTGAAAGTTTAGTGTTGTGAATTTTCGATATAAAACGGTATGAGTTACATACCGTACCGAATTTTCGGTATATCGAATTTCGGTATACCGAAAATTTTGGTATGGTAACGGTATGATATTTACAAATACCGGCATTTCGGTATGGTATGCGGTATGACGTAAAAATTTCGGTATGCCATACCAAACCAGCCCTAGATATGAGTGAGTTCTTGATTGTGTTTTAAGTATGATCTAGAATGATTTTCTTGAGTAACATACCGGCGTAATTTATTATAAAAAAAAGATGAATAAAACAAATAAACATATACTACTTCCGGCCCACTAATATTGGGATGAAAGGGGTGATCCGGTTATTAAGAAAAGTGGTATATGTGATTAATATTAATTGTTAAAGTAAGAATAATGTAAGAATGATTTAGAGTCATACAAACTTTATCGAATTTGATATATAACAATTTTGTGGAATTTCCTGAAAAGATAAAATATGACAATACTAGCAAGACGGAGGGAGTATTACGTAACAACTTTCACACATGAGCAATTTCTCCATTAATAAAAACGTATTCACAACTAATTAATTAACATTAGGACTATATTTTCATTTTACTCATTATTAATATAATCCTTTTTGCACAGACACATCAATTTTAAATCAAGTATTCTGTATATATGTGTGGAGCATATTGAATTGGTCATACTCCAAAAGAGAAATTTAGACCCGTATGTTTTATTTTACATTATATAGAAGTGTCATTGTTCTAATTTTAATAAATTGGCGTACAATTACTGACAATAAAATTGAATGTATACACATTTTCACAAATTAAGTTCCACAATACATTTGTTCATTCTCACTATTTAAGTATGATTATTAATAAATCAAGTACTTAATGAATAATTCAAACATGAGCCAATTACAAGTACTGAAACTCCTATATTAAACAAGGGAAAACTATCAATTTGATCCTCGTACTTTCATGAAAAAATCAATTAGGTCCTCGTACTTTTAAAAAGTTCAATCAAATCCTCGAACTTTGTAAAAACGTTCAATTGCGTGCATTTGCAGGTTACTTGCCATGTCAGCATGTCACCTGCTGGTGTGGCGCACACGTGGCAGCCCAATCATCAATAATTTTGTTGACGTTGCACACATGTGGAAGTCTAGTAAGCCATTTGTTGATGACGTGGCGCACACAAGGGCCGCCATGTGTGCGCCATGTCAATGGGTGACCTGCTGACATGGAAGTAGTCTGCAAATGTACTCAATTGAACGTTTTTACAAAATTCAGGGATTTGATTGATTTTTTTAAAAGTACGAGGACCTAATCGACTTTTTCATGAAAATTCAAGAACCAAATTGACATCTTTCTCATTAAACAATTATATGGAACTTTTAGAGTGCTCAGATCAAATATGGAACGTCTATCGATCTCAACTCAAGCCCCACATATAAAGCATGTCGAGTTAAACATATATTGTAGTCGGAAAAGTCCTTTTTTTATAAAAACATGTGAAAAATATGAGTTAGTTTGTGACTTTACATGTGCAAAATATAATAAACGGATCATTGTCATTAACTTATGAAAATGCGACATACCTTTTGAATGTTATTCCTAAAACAGTATGAATATATTTTCTAGCATGAAACAATACACTATTCTGCATAAGTACTCTATTTCAATAGTACCTTCTAAACTTTTGAAATCATGGCCATTTTCCTTTGGCCTCAATTCATCAACCACATCACAAAGCATTTTATAACAATCACACAATATTGTATTTTTGAAAGTCTTCTTGATATTGTCCTATTTGTAAATTCACTTCTTTGTAAGGATAATATGCCAGTAGAGAAGTAATCATTGAAAAGGCAGGGCACTTTTATTTATGAATGTACAACCTCTTCAACTATATGTTGCCATTGCATTCATAAAGTCAGTTTAATCTGATATCCAATTTAAAATAAGAAACTAGTTTACATAAAAACCAACACAAGTTACGCCAATTAACAAATCATCGATCTACATTTGAATAAAAAACACAATAGAAAGAAATAACTTGCCCAGTCCAGTAGAAATCAAACTCTATAAATAGTGTCACTTCGTTTGACGACGTTATCATGTATGGATCTCAAAACGGTGTACAAACCTCAACATTATGTAAAATGTAAATCACGTGTAAGCATGATGTGACTTGCTGAGAAAAGTTGACACGTAACTCGCGCCAATATATATGTAACTTTAGGCAAATCCTGATATAACTTGAGTGTGTGAAAGATTTAAGTTGAGGAAGGTCTAAAATAATTCATAGCAGTCATCTTCAACATGTA